GAACCGCAAACAGACAAAAAATGACAATTTTCACCGTTTTTTGCAATTTTGACAGCTTTTAACTGCCAAATCGTCAATTTTGACCCTAAATCCTTCATCAGCGACCGAAAATACATCTAGAATGACTATGGAGAAAATTTTAAAGCACTTAATATTTGCATAGGAGATTAAACAAACAAAAAAATGCCTTGTTCTTTATTATTATTAATAATAATAATATTAATTATTTTTGTTATTTATACAATAAGGGTGAAAATTTCCCAACTGGGCCACCTAAAACTGAGTTTTTAAATTTAAAATATTTTTTTTCATAATCTATTGCATGAAGCCGAATTAAAAACATTCCTGAAATGCGTTTTTAAAAAAATTAATTTTTTAATTATTTATTAACAATTGAATATTTTGTTACCTTTCCACTAAATTTGCAATTACTCTGTTGCTTGTTAATGAAATTAAATAAAATTTGGTGAGCATATAGAAAAATTATGTCTTTTTGAAAAGGAATAGAAATTTCAATTAATCTTTATTGTTAATGCAAAAAAAATTGTTTATTTAATAAACTAATAAATATTTAAACTATTTCTCATATGTTTAAGAAAAAATTTCAAAAACGACATAATCTACACTTTCTTAACTTTAATTAAAAAAAAAATCTTAGTACCTTTAAAAAATGAGTAAATTACGCGAATTTGAAGAGCGACGTGCAAGCGCTGGAACAGTCACCACTGCCGAGCGCGGCGCGCTACTACGCGTCGATGCCTATTCTCTGTTATCGAATTATACTAATTTATACTAATATAATTAATAGTAATACTAATTTAGCTAAATTAAAAATTGGTTTAGCGAAAATTTAATTAAATAAGAATTTGGTTAAATAAAAATTAGGCTTTAATAACAATTCTATTAAAAAAAATTCGGTTAAATAAAAATTCTTTTAAATAAAAATTCTGCTATTGAAAAATTTGTTTCTACGTTAAATTAAATTTCTAAAATTCAAAGTTAGTACATATTGAGCGTCCCAATTAAAATCTTTTCGATGAAATAACAAATTCATAAAATTAAATTTGTTCTTATATTTATAAGAAATAAATTTTTTTTTTAAATTATAAATTAATTTATTAAATTATTATAAATTAATTGTTAATTGTTAAAATTAATTAAAATTAAATTAAATTTGTTCTTACATTTATAACAACAAATTTAATTTTATGAATTTGTTATTTCATCGAAAAGATTTTAATTGGGACGCTCAATGTGTACTAAGTTTGAAATTTAGAAAATTAATTTAACGTAGAACCAAATTTTTTAATAGCAGAATTTTTATATAACCGAATTTTTTTTAATAGAATTTTTATGAAAGCCTAATTTTTATTTAACCAAATTCTTATTTAATTAAATTTTCGCTAAAACAAATTTTTATTTATTCAAATTAGTATTAGTTTTAACTAGTATCACTAGAGAAAATTTTACATTGGAATGTAAATACATCGGAATTAGTGATACTAATTTTGTTACTTGCAAAATATTTTAAAGAATATTCGTTTTTTGAAAAAATTCTCAGAAATCAGTTGTAATGAAAAGTTATACAGGGTGTTCCAAAAGTATGAAAACTTGCAAATATCTCGAAAAGTACGAATTTTTGTAAAAAATGTTCAAGACAAAAGTTGTTCTGAACAAAAAGATGTACAACTTTGAAACAAAAAAATTGGCCCCGAAGCACAATGTTGAGCCCTACAATGAAAAAAGTAATTTTCTTAAATGAGACCACTAATTTTCAGTATCAAATTCGTAATCCCCATGAAATTCTGCGTTCAGACATGTGTTATAAGTGCCCAAAATATTGGGCCCAATCCAAGATATTGGGTCTAAAATTTATCTACAGATAAATAAATTTTAAAAAATCGCATCTTGGAGGGATTTTGAGATCACAGGATTAGAAATTGAGCATTTTTTCATTGCCCACTGTAAGATTCTGCAGCCCAATGTGAGATCTACAGTAAAAAAATTAGTTTCTTTCCATTTCGTAATCGTTATGAAATTCTGTGCTTAGACTTGTGGTACAAATTCCAAAAATATTGGGCCCTCACATTGGGCTGCAGAATCTTACAGTGGGAACTTATAACTTATAACTTATAACTTATAACTTTTCATTACAACTGATTTCTGAGAATTTTTTCAAAAAACGAATATTCTTTAAAATATTTTGCAAGTAACAAAATTAGTATCACTAATTCCGATGTATTTACATTCCAATGTAAAATTTTCTCTAGTGATACTAGTTAAAACTAATACTAATTTGAATAAATAAAAATTTGTTTTAGCGAAAATTTAATTAAATAAGAATTTGGTTAAATAAAAATTAGGCTTTCATAAAAATTCTATTAAAAAAAATTCGGTTATATAAAAATTCTGCTATTAAAAAATTTGGTTCTACGTTAAATTAATTTTCTAAATTTCAAACTTAGTACACATTGAGCGTCCCAATTAAAATCTTTTCGATGAAATAACAAATTCATAAAATTAAATTTGTTGTTATAAATGTAAGAACAAATTTAATTTAATTTTAATTAATTTTAACAATTAACAATTAATTTATAATAATTTAATAAATTAATTTATAATTTAAAAAAAAAATTTATTTCTTATAAATATAAGAACAAATTTAATTTTATGAATTTGTTATTTCATCGAAAAGATTTTAATTGGGACGCTCAATATGTACTAACTTTGAATTTTAGAAATTTAATTTAACGTAGAAACAAATTTTTCAATAGCAGAATTTTTATTTAAAAGAATTTTTATTTAACCGAATTTTTTTTAATAGAATTGTTATTAAAGCCTAATTTTTATTTAACCAAATTCTTATTTAATTAAATTTTCGCTAAACCAATTTTTAATTTAGCTAAATTAGTATTACTATTAATTATATTAGTATAAATTAGTATAATTCGATAACAGAGAATAGGCATCGACGCGTAGTAGCGCGCCGCGCTCGGCAGTGGTGACTGTTCCAGCGCTTGCACGTCGCTCTTCAAATTCGCGTAATTTACTCATTTTTTAAAGGTACTAAGATTTTTTTTTTAATTAAAGTTAAGAAAGTGTAGATTATGTCGTTTTTGAAATTTTTTCTTAAACATATGAGAAATAGTTTAAATATTTATTAGTTTATTAAATAAACAATTTTTTTTGCATTAACAATAAAGATTAATTGAAATTTCTATTCCTTTTCAAAAAGACATAATTTTTCTATATGCTCACCAAATTTTATTTAATTTCATTAACAAGCAACAGAGTAATTGCAAATTTAGTGGAAAGGTAACAAAATATTCAATTGTTAATAAATAATTAAAAAATTAATTTTTTTAAAAACGCATTTCAGGAATGTTTTTAATTCGGCTTCATGCAATAGATTATGAAAAAAAATATTTTAAATTTAAAAACTCAGTTTTAGGTGGCCCAGTTGGGAAATTTTCACCCTTATTGTATAAATAACAAAAATAATTAATATTATTATTATTAATAATAATAAAGAACAAGGCATTTTTTTGTTTGTTTAATCTCCTATGCAAATATTAAGTGCTTTAAAATTTTCTCCATAGTCATTCTAGATGTATTTTCGGTCGCTGATGAAGGATTTAGGGTCAAAATTGACGATTTGGCAGTTAAAAGCTGTCAAAATTGCAAAAAACGGTGAAAATTGTCATTTTTTGTCTGTTTGCGGTTCAAAGCGCAGACAAAGAGTTCAATTGATATTGGTGTAGCTTTTCTAGACGTGTTTTTGATCGCTGTTTATGAATTACCCTAGCGCATGGGCCCAACACGTTTTGAACGGAATAGCGTTGAAACAATGTTGGTCACTAAAAATGTTATTTAAACAATAAAATATGATCAATTATTTATTAGGATTTGTAGAAAAAGTGTTCATGAGCAATTTAAGACCTTATTTGTATTAATTTAATACGAAATAAGTGAAATAAAAGATAAAATATAGAGCACTGTTATATTAGGGTATTCTATCAAATTTTTATATAATTCAATGAAAAATGTTTTAGATATGATTTTTTAATAATAGAAAAACAGCGAAAAAGTATTAATTTATTATTTTAAAGCATTTGAAAGGGTAATAAATAGTGAACATTAATGTTTTTATTGTGTACTTTTTGTGTGTATTCGACAAGGTTTATCGACAGCAAGTTACAGGTTATAACGGTGAATGCTAGGTGTCAGCACAGTAAACAATTATGTGGGGATCGCAGCAAGGTAATAATGATCCCTGCAACTAGAGGTACTCCTCTCTCTCAGATGTTGAGATAGCGAATGCGTGTAATTTAAATGTTCATACAAATTATTTTGTATGTATTTGAATGTTAACAAAATACTTACTAAACTTGTAATTATATTTTGTTTGTTTACATGTAAATATAACCTAAAAATAAAAATAATTAAGAAATTTCGTTTGAAATATATACGGCTACAATTAAAAAAATTATTTATATTTTTATATAACTTACAACAAATTATTGCAATAATTCCTTTATTATTTCATTATGAAACATCTAAGTACACCACTTTTCCGCTAGAGGCGTGATAATCGGATATATGTAATTTGCGATTTATTCTCATGAAGAGGGCCTATAAGCTTAACAAGCAGTGAGTGCTCCTTATACTACTTCATGGGCAGTACCTTCAATGATATTCAATTTTAAATTTTCCGCGCTTATTTGAATGATACGGCAACACTGCACTCACTTACATAGGTGAGGAACTCTATCACCTGCGACCAACCGCGTTACAAAAAAAATGCGACTGACGGAGGGTTAATTCATTTTCTGAGCAGGTACTTTTTGACACCTTTTCTGGTTAGGTACGATCTTGCTGAATTTTCCAAATAGGTAATGAAATCAGTGAACTTTTAAAACAAATATTATTATATCTAACTTTTATTTTTCAAATGTTTTACTATTAGTATATAGTAATTTATATTTAGTTATATTTTATAGGGAAAAGACTGGGAGACAAAAACTTTTTATAAAAAAAAATGGTTAAAAATTCCTAAAGCAAAACGATATTTATTGCCAAGTGAAGGAATAAGGCAAGTTCTAGATGGAAAAATAGCTTACCACACAGATCCTATAGTTGGATATCCTCTGATTGGAAAATTGTTTAATAATCAACAGATTTGTGAACTCACGGAAGTTCATCTTGTTCCGCCAACAGAATTTTGTTTCTTTGTCAGTAGGAATGGATCTTTTTTTGAAATTTCCAAAATAGCGTACGTATTGAAATTCTTTTGCAAAAAATTTATTTCATATTACACTGCGTCTGGGCAAACAGTTCTTACGAAAATCGATTTTTGCAAAAATTGCAAACTTTTTTCTGAGAAACAGAGTTGTTTTCTCTTAAAAATATAAAATTTAATAAAAATTCCATTCTTCTTTTCCTAGATAATGTTATTAAGAAGCTACAGTTAAATTTTTAGGTAAATTGGTTGAGATTTGTGAAAGTTACGTTTCCTGTCATTTCAAAAAAGTAGTTTTAAGAAAAACGCGTTTAAAGTTTTACTTATTATTTAGTAGATATTCCTTTAATCTGCAATGCCTTCGCCATATAATCAGTGAAATTTCACTGACTACTTGCGAAAATTATGTAAAAATAATGTATGTAATGAACCCTTCTATATTCATTAATTAGAAAGTTCATTGAACTTAGATAAAGTCTTTTCACTCTAAATCATTACAACACAACCAACTCTGTTGCAATGTTTTAGGAATGGGCCCTTGCTCAGGATATTCGCTAAATGCGAATTAATACAACTATTTCAACATCCATGCAAAGGAGTAAATACTATTATTGTCATTATATAAAATTCGCAAACAGTACTATACATGTATATAAAAAATATATATATATATATATATAAACTCAATTACTATTATTGTTATTAAAGGGGGAAATAAAAGTATTGTTATTATATAAATTCAAAATGGTACAGTAGTAATACTAGGCTGGTATCAGGCCAGTTACCGACCGAGGTCGGTAATGTAGAAATTTACTTTACCGTAACTTTCCGTTCGGGAAATTTAAATTTTTAAAAGTTTAATTTAAAGTGGCTTGGCTGACACTTTACCGACCGCGTTGGTTCCTGTTACCACCGCTAGATAGCGACACCGGCCAATTCAAACCCGCTTGACCGGAAATTTGATTTTTTAAAGTTTAATTTCAAGTGGCTTGGTGTTCTACTTTACCGACCGAGTTAGTTCCGGATGCCACCGCTAGATGGCGCCATTTTCGATTACCGACCAATTCAAACCCCCTTGGCGGGAAATTTGTATCTTTAAATGGTTTGGTGTTATACTTTACCGACAGAATTAGTTTGGGCTGACACCGCTAGATGGCGCCATTTTCGATTACCGATCAATTCAAACCCCTTTGGCGGGAAATTTGAATTTTTAAAAATTTAATTTACAATGGCTTGATGTTATACTTTACCGACCGAGTTAGTACCGGCTGCCTCTTATAGATGGCGCCACTATTTTTTACAATAATTTAAATTTAAAAATTACATTGTATAATACAATATGTATTTATCTCCCCTGTATAGAAAAAGCATCGAGAGGGATACCCTTTGCTGGCTGCGTCTATCCCGGAACCAGCGCTGGGTTCATATGCAGAGTTCCGTCTCTCACCGCATCGATGTAAGCTCAGCCGGGGACTTCCTCCCATGTCTACAGCGGAGCGCGCAGCGGCAGGCCTGCCTGGTTACGCGCGTCGCTTTAGTAGTGGGGCGCCTCATAGTGGGGAGTAGGGTATATTGCACGGCGCTCGGTCCATTAGCATCACTGCTTCCTGTTTACAGATCTTGCGCAGTACTTCCACAGCATTTCAGCTTTTTTTATTGTAGGTTCTCTTTTTTATTTCAGATTTTGTTTATTATTTTTATTTCAGGTATACAAATATTTTAGTTGTAGGTTTTTTAGGTGGTGGGTATTTTGGTTTTAGATTTAGGTTTTTTCTTTTTAGGTGGTGGGTTTTTTTCATTATTGGTATTGGGTATTTTGTTTTAGGTTTAGGTTTTTTTTTCTTTTTAGGGGTGGTGGTTTTTATTTTCAGATTTCTCAGTTTTTAAGATGCCAAAGTGTAGGGTGCCGAAAAAGTCTCGGCAAAGAATTGAGATTAAGGAGTTTAATGAAGTCTGGAGGTAGACGACTTCATTAAAATCGCTGAACGAGATCTCATCACTATTATGTCGATGACAAGCGATGAAAAATGTGTTGCCGCATTCGAGTGGCAGAACAAATGTCAGAGATATAAAAATATAATGAGGTCATTTTTGTATAGATCTGATTTTTTACCTTATCAAAAATCTAGGTGTTTAAATGTAAGTCAGAAAGTTAAATACCTGCGTTTTCATTTTGATGCGTGTATCGTCTTTCAAAAAGAAAGGAAAATTTCAGTGTCTACCCAATACATCTGACATTACAAAAGTGGGTACATCATGTTAATCTCTTACGTATTGATGACCATAATATTGACGAAAACTTTAAAAAAAAGAAGACGAAGAAGAGGAGGACATACTATCGAATTTAAAAATTTTCAAAACAAGGTGCGTGTACCCTTTATTATTTCTGCAGACTGCGAGAGTCTGTTAATTCCAGCAGAAACACCACAAGAAGTATGCAATACCGAGGTCTTCCAAAATCATAAGATGCTCAGTATGGTTATTATCTAAAATGTGGTTTTGATGACTTATTATCCATATACAAAGAATTATCTAAAGATGAAGAAGATCCTGCTAAATGGTTTTCAAAGGAGTTAAAGAACTTGATAGAGCATGTAGAGCAGATTTACAAAAAAATTTAAACCAATGCAAGCATTAAGTCAACAGCAGCTGGTAGATTTTAGAAATGACAATACCTGTCATATCTGTAGAAAGAAAATTGCGCATGGGGATGTGAAAGTCAGAGACCATTGCCAACTAACAGGGAAGTTTCGGGGCGGAGCACATCAAGAATGTAATGTTAATTATCATGAATCACCGACCATACCTGTTGTTTTCCTTAACCTATGTGGCTATGACGCACATTTTATTATTGAAGCAATTGCTGCTGATTTTGATGGTAGAGTTGATTTACTTCCAATAAATAAAGAGAAGTATATTACTTTTACTAAAAATGTAAAACGAATTATTATCAAGTTGCGTTTTATTGATTCTTTTTAAGTTTCGATACATGTTTTCGTCTTGATAACATAAACTATACTAATTTAAAATGAAATAATGTCCTTATATTTATAATGTAATAAAGCAATCAAATCCTTTTCTATATCTTTCCTCATTAAAATTTCTATCTTTATCAATAACGACAAATCCATATTTATCAGATTTCCAACATTCTGAACATAAATCACGAAATTGAGTATGACATGTTTGTATTTACATGATCTTCGTAGACATGTTTTAAATTTTTTCATCTTGTCTAAAAAGCACCAGTAAATTTACATTATCTCGGACTAGATGTTTTGGAATACGAGCATATGTTTGACACAAGTAGAAAGCTTTAAAATATACAAAAGAAAGCTTTAACATTGTCTTGCTTTTCACAAGCAATATCATCCAAGATGAATATTGACTTCGGTTTAGCATCTTTTGTAGATACTACTTCTTCATGCTCACTAAATGGAAAGTATTCAATTCCATCTACGTCATATATTACATTTTCCAAAAATTTATATTTTGGCTGCTGCAGAGATTTAGAGTATAGCTAAATATTTTCAAAACTTAAACCATTTGGAAGTATGATTAAAGAGAGAAGAGCGTTTGTTTTACCACAATTTGAGGGACCACAAAAGACAGCTCGGATGCTATCTGAAAACAAACTACCATGACGTTGAACATTTTTCTCACTAGTTTCAACGTCAATACTTGTGATTGGGAGTGCTGCAGGTTGTTTCGTGAACTGCATCTTGACAGTAACTGCTCTGAAAACTATAAATACTAGGCTTTTATAGTCTTACAGTTAGTTGCACATCAAAATTCATAGAGCGTAGAATGATTATACAACGAAGTGATAAAAAACATTTATGTTTAAAATTTTTATGTAAACAACTTAATGTTAAGAGCAGCTATAGTCTATATAAGAACATGTAACTTTGTAATCTTTTAGTATATAAACTGACAGCATCATGAGTGATTCTTTTACTTTAACACTAAGTGGAAACAGTTCAGTTCTTGAAGCTGAATATTTCCCACCAATAGAACTTAATCTAAATAAAAATTATATCCTCGGTCTTGTTGAATTACTGACTTTTAATTTTATTCCCAATATTGATGAAGGTAATAATAAATTTTACATTGGTAATCATATAATTGATATACCAACTGGGAGTTATGAAATCACAGATATTGAAAAATGTATAAAAAATTCAGTAAAACTTGGAACTGTTATTAGTATAAAACCTAATAACAATACATTACGCAGTTTAGTTGAATCAAATTTACCAATTGATTTTAAACATAAAGATTCATTTGGTAAATTATTGGGATTTATGCCGCGGAAATTATCACCTAATGAAACACACATCTCTGATTTACCTGTAGCAATTCTTAAGGTAAATTCAGTCAGAGTTGAGTGTAGTATTACATCTGGAGCGTATATAAATAATCAAAAGGCCCATACTATCCATGAATTCTTCCCTAGCGTTCCACCAGAATATAAGATTGTGGAAGTACCAGCATAAGTCATTTACCTTCCGATTGTTGTCAAGACAATACATAAGATTCAACTCCGTATTGTGGATCAGGGCGGTGATTTAATTAATTTTCGAGATGAAACTATAACCATCCGATTGCACATAAAGTCAATGTAATGGGAATTGTATATAATCAAAAAGTTGGTGGAAACTATAAAAGTCAGCCAACATGCCAAATACAAATCAGTTTAAATTTGTCTCACAAGGTGTTAACATCTCAGAATCGCCTGTTCCTGAAAAAACTAGGACTAAAAATTATACCTCAAGGAAAACGCCAAGACAAATAATAATTTATATATTTTTTGGGTGTTGTTGCAACAAAAATGGACGAAATTCTCAACATTCCAGCAACAGTGAATTTTGATGAGTCCATAGCTCATTATGAAATTCTTGCTCATCAACCGTATGCTTCATCCTCTTTTAACAATGGTGATGAAATTCGAATTGCAGTTCAACATCGTGATTTATGTATTCTACCGAGTAAAAGTTCATTGCTCATATTTGGAAAATTTACTAAAAATGACG